CAATGAACTATAATTCGAGGATTCTGCACACAGCAAAGTTATGTATGAATATTTACTTCAAGCTTTATTTTTTTCCCAGGCACTTATAATCCATCCACCAAAGACCTGGTTTTTTTGTTAATGCGAAGACAATACTTCTGTATTTCCTGTTGTGTTGCACTCACTGACAATCTAGCGGATTTTTCCAACTTTGCACAGAAATGATTATATATAAGTGAAAAGGCTGTTTTATACTACTGGAATTAACATTTATCAAGTGTATGTATAATCGCCATCGATCATGTAAAGCATATCTTGCTACTGGCTGTAAATTGTGATTAAATTATATGGTTCTATTTCTGTAACAATTTGATGATGCCTGTAAACTGGCGTCCCTCATGTACTGTACTATGAGAATAAATTTATTTATTAAGAAAAACCTGTCCGGTACCGCAAATACCACTTTGGGTTGGCTAGTCTTCAGACGTACTTTCTTGCCAGTTGTCGCTATAGATATTTAAACTACCATCGCAACCCCTTGTACTAAGTTTATCTGAAGCGTAGTTATAGGCGGCATGGGTGAGCTTGGCGGTTCTCCAGTTGACAGAGGTTTCATAACTTCCTGATGGGCATAGTTCGTCAGTAGACTTCCAACTAATAACATTTCGTTTTGATTTGGACGTGGTTTCAAGGATCTCCATGTTCTGTGATGGGAAATACAGACAATTAGAGATCGAGTACTCTACGGTTAAGCTGTTTCTTGTCTCCGGACAAACGTTTTGAGCTAGCATCTAGGCCACTACAATCCCAATAGTTTAAAAATAGCTAGAACATTTAATCCAGCCGTTAACGGGCAGCTTAACAGCGGCGTGGGTATTTCTCCCATAATCCGAAAGGATCACTTCGTTAAATCACCGTGCAGAGGATCAATGTGTACATTCCACTTTAACCTCACAGTTGCTTTAGCAAAACAACTGAGAGCGAACCCAAGTGTCTCCATACTGTGACGATATTCGACCATCAGTCCTTGAACATTGCAAAAACGCTGTCTACTGCCCCTTATGCTGCTTGTTTTAACACTCCATCGATTTCGGGAAACTGAAAACGGAGTGGAAGATAGACGTTCTTTACACTATCTTCATGGGTAGAGACCGGCACAACTTAATGAATTTTAAGTGAACAGCACTAATTCTAGTTGTGTCGAAGGTAGCGAAAATCATTATCCACAACCATACCAGTTAACACCTTGATGAGATCAAGGCGCCCCATGAAACACATTAACGTTTCGAAAGAGGTAGATTCTGTGCAACAAATGTACTGTTAGCTGGGAATAGCTGGATATTGCGCTGCGATATGAGTGTTTCAGTACACGTGATCTTATCGGATTTTGCAAAGGCGTTTGCCACCATTCAGTGTGGTCTCCTTCAAAATATAAGTCAGCCGGATGTTGGTAGTCCGCTTCTCTCATGGTTGAAGAACTACCTAGATCAAAACGAAATTCCTACTAAAGTCTACCGTGTCCGATCACATCAAATCTTCGGGGGACTCGCTGGGTTGTACCTTAAGGTTGTTGAGGCCTATAATTTTCATCAACGATCTGCTAAACTGTCTGAACTGCTAGGATCCTCTTTATGCTGGTGATGCAAACATGAGGAGCAATAGAATGTTGGGAAGACTCAGATGGGATACCAAAAGGCCTAAAATCTTTGGAAAACTGTGCACAGGTCGTCCGAACCTCTTTCAATCTTGGAAACATGCAAAGTTGTACAAATATGTGCTGTAGCAATGCAGGAAGTAGGCTACTTTCTGCGTGAAGACAGCCTGTCCTACTCAATGCCAGACCAAAACTTAGGGTCTCACTCTAAATCACATGCACACGTGGCGTTGGTTATAAATTTCACGCATAGTCAGTTAGGCACGCTTATTCCTGAGCTTTTACCAAGAAATTAAAGTTGTATATGCGGTCGCACTTTGAGATGCGCAGTACTGTTGCTTACCAATTATTTAAAAAAAGACCCCAGTCTTTTAGAAGAACGGCAGAAAAGGGGTTATGGGCCTTCCACAGAGACCATATTATTAAAGGTAGTGGAGACTAGATTTTTTCTCACCTGTTTACTGGAGACGGATATACTCCAATTAAGGATTTCATCTTAGCAGCATACAAAAATTGGTGTACCAGAGGGTAAAGACTCCACTGTGTTCTCATTTCTTTACCAGCAACAGTGGCTACTGTACCTTAATTTAAAAACTCTGATGGGAGGCTTGACAAAAAGCGACTACATCCAAACGGATAATCGCCTGGACTCTCATTTACGGCACTGTATCGTTGGGTCTCAACGAATCTCATCCTCAGAACCCAACCATTCTCCATCGTCTCCGTTTTATGATTACCTTAGCTATTCATTCGCTTACGTTTTGATTAGGACTTTTAATTATCCATTTGCTTGGTTAGCTTTGTTTCGAATTTCACATATTCGAAATTAATTATACTATTGGTATCCTTATTATTGTGTTTTTCGACTACACTGCATGACTAATGGATAAAAGGAATAACTCCAGTCACGGCGGCGCCGAAGTCTTAAAAACTGCCTACTGTGAATCGCACAAAACCAACCTACGATACTACTCCATTCGGGGCTAATTAAAGCTGCGACAGGCGAGTGGAAGGACAAAATATTCAAAAACTTATCGAAAAGCAGGGAGCTTCACCTTACAATCACGAAGTTAACCCAAAGAAGTCAGTTCGGTTTTTGATGACTCTTGAAAATGTCACTGGATGTTAAAATGCGCATCAGTCTGCTTTCTGACCTATCTCCTATAAATCTTAAGATTGAAATTGTTCGAGATAAGTAACTGTTAACATTTGAAAAATCGGCTTCATGCTTTATGAATATATAGGTAAGTTCATGTTTTTCACAGTAATAGTTGCGATTCCTCAAACGAAAAATGAAGTGCCTAGGCCAGATATTTCTTCTGGTATCCATCAATTCAATGGCTCCTGTGTAACCAGTTATATTGGCTGTTTCTCAAGTGACATAAGCTTTTGTGCTCGGAAACACATACCAGTGTCTCTAAATAGAGGCGAAGTTACAACCGGCAATAGCCCTATGTTCGTTCACCTCGTCCAAATAGGCCATATAGGTGGCATTGAAGGGTCTTTTCTTATCATCTGTGGGGTGCCCAATTCATTACCTAAGGCCCCTAGACACAAAACAGTCGAAACAGCAGAGGTCACTACAGTTCGCTTAACACATTGGGAGCACTGAGTGCATAAAAACTGGTCCAGACACTATTACTACCATTGGCTACCATGGAACTGACCAATTCACAAATTCTACATTTGTTTTCTTAACTTATATGATATTCTGTTAAGTGTTATACTGGTATTGATCCCTTTGAACGACAATAATTCTTTAGTTATTAGAGTCATACAAGTGAAGGACCTGATGAAGAGTTATCGAACAGAATATTCTTTGTTCAGTCTTCTAAAATTTCTCATTTATGTATCCTACCCTCAGGCTATACAATGAACATCAACGTTTTTTAATTACGACCAACAAAATCTTATTTTACAATTACGTTATTACTCACACAGCTTCTGTGTAACGCTTATCCTGAACCAAATACCCCAAAATTCGTAACTAACGTCTACTGAAATAGTGTATAGAGATAATCGAGAAAATTCGCAGCTTAGGTGGATGATTTGGATGTAGTTCTGTTCTCTGAGCTGGATAATTTAGCTGAGGAGCTTTCATTGCTTTACTAGACAAGATCTTCAGCAGATACTTCAATTTGAAGTTAGCTTTTAAATTTCTCCGAGAATTTATTAGTCATCTCTCCTGTTAACCTTGAACATGATTTGTAGAAATTGTGTCTATTTTCAAAGCTGAAGTTTAACAATAGCGTCCCAAGGGATGCGAACGCACGAGTGACCTTCAGATGGCCAATCATAAAAATAAGTGACTTTCGTACACAAGAAAATGCACGAAAACACATTAAACAGTGTGTCTTTCTCTGACATGACTTAAAAATACGTCCCAGTTATAATGAGGAGTATCAGTTCCTATGGTGGACTAGTTTCTGTACATGTATTCACCGAGGTGACTAGAGATGAGCTATTTTTGTGAATTGTTTATCTCTCTTATCCTGTTGTGTAGTCTTCCTAACAGCCCACGATTGAGTTACTATGGTTTTCAGTAAGAAGGTGGCCAGCTACTCACCAGGGAAATGTGGATAAGAAAACAAATTAAAATAAATTATATCGACTATAAATCTATCCCTAGTCTTAACCTTAACCTTAATCCTGACCCTAACCCTAAACTAAACACTAACCCTAATTACAACACTTATCCTAATCGTGAACCTAACCCTAATACTTACCTTAACCCGAATCCTAACCCTAATCAGCTATTAACACGTTGTCCAAACATTACTTAAAACGTGATTTGAGTGGAATTTGCTGCTTACTTGGTGAATAGCGTTGATATTTCAACTAGGATAGTGACAGGTGCCGTCAGCCAACGACTAGCATGCGTTCAAGGTCATGGGAGTGTTCGCACTCCCGGGACACTGTTGTTGAACTTCGCCTTTCCACATACTATAGTTTACTTTTATTGGTGTTGATTGACCGCCAATAGAGTGAATCGGCCATTAACTAGCATACTGACATAGATAAAATTTACCAATCCATAAGGGGAAAATCTCAAGCACAAAAAGTCAAAATTCAAGTCAAGGGAACAATCAGCACCAATACAAGAGGACTAGAGGATGTGAAAACAGACAAAATAGACAAGGACAACCAATCACGTTGAAGGTCACCCACCAGGAGAGATGACTGCTGAACTCAGGGAGAAATTTGAAGTTTCACTTCAGAAAATTGAGGTATGCGCGCTGAAAATGCTGCCTAGTAAGGCAGTACAACGTTCGCAAGTAAACCATTCAGCTCACAGAGCACAACTACATCGAAATAGTTTACATATATTATTTATTATTCCCTAAGATTCCCAGTGGAACATAGCACCTCAGCAGCACATATTTACTTCATCTTGTTCTCTGCTGAAACAGTGCACGAAGATTAAAACGACTAAAACCCATTTTATAAACCAGCCACAACCAAAATATTTCGAAAAAACAAATTCTCTTAAAACTGTACAATAAATTATATTATCATTTGTGTTGTAGGACCTAAATAAGGATGTTTAAATCGTAATCTACACTTAGGCGATTGTGATGATGTGCAGCCTAGAAATGAATTAAGTCTTGGTAGTCCATTGGGTCCAAATGAATGAAATAAATTGGATGAATTTTCCATATTGTTACTACTTGACCTTATAGCAGCCAAGGCTTCAATTAACCAACCTTCTGTTGTATCTGATGTCGGTGAAACAGGACCATCATCCCAGATTAGATCAAAGTCACCGATACGTTTCTCAGAGCCTGTAAGACGACCTTCCACGTCTACAACATCTAGCATATCATCTAAAAGGTTGGTCTAAAAAAAGTAAATTTAAAAAGACAGAACGATTCAATTTCATATAACAATAAAAAAAGTGAAATAACCATCCAATGAAAAAGTTAGTTTTCATTAAACTCAGTCGAAAATATCATTTTTCACTCTCGAATTTTAAATTACCACAAAATCTATGATAATATTAGTGCTATTCACCCAGAATGTGAAGTCTACTGAACATTTTCACTTGAGAAAAACACAGGTGTATGTTGACTATGACTGCTATGCCTCTACACTGTGATAATGTTACTGAAATGAGTTGTATAGTATGGAAGTACTAAATAGGATTCCGACTACAATACTATAGTAAATCCACGTTTTCACGTCCCAGGGTGTGTGTACGCTGTATGTAACTGAATTTTAAATAACGTTGTATTAGAAGAAGCAAACGAAAAACTTGAGAAGATATATTGTTATTGATATGAGTATAAAGCTTGGGCACTGTGGTAGAGTATAACTCCATAATGGATAAGATTTTATTTTGATAAATCACACAGTGTTGTATAGTTATATTAACTGATGACGTTTCGAGCACAAACTATTGCCACTCATAATCATATCAAGTTACTCACACAACTTTTTTCCTTTATTTGTATTCATGAGTGGAATTGACTAGATATTTGAATAAAAATCAATATGGGATAATGTACATTCAGAAATAATAATATGAGTGTTATTGATCCATTACAATTAGATGGGAAATACATTTAATCCTACTCCAAAAATATGGTGGAGATATGTGGATGACACATTCACAGTGTTAAAAACAGAACATATCTCTAGCTTCTTGACACACATAAACTCACTAGTGGAGGGGAAAAAATTCATATTTGAAGCGGAAAATGAACAAGGAGAATAAGCTACGGTGTTAGATTGCAAAATAAAACGAACAGAAGAAGGTAAACCACACACTGACGTTTATAAAAACCCAACGCATTCTGCTAATAGATATTTAGACTTTAATTCGTCTCATCCGTTAACTGTCAAGGCAGGCTTAGTGAAGTGTCTGACAAACCGAGCCATAGCACTAAGTAGCACAAAAAAAGACCTAAATGACGAAATAAAAAAGATAGAAGAAGCTTTGGTGTTGAATAACTATCCTATAAAATTCATTAAGAAGATCAGTAAAGGCCAAAAACAAAATAAAAATAATTGTGTAACTAGTAGTACTAACCTAAATAAGAGAGAATATAAGTCTTCTACTGTTATACCATATAAGGAGGGGACATCTGAGGCCCTAAGTAGGATTTTCAATAATGCAGGAATTAGGGTGGCATTCAAACCCACAAACTCACTCAGGTAGGACAAGCTCTGTAGGTTAAAGGACCCTGTCGCTTGACCCAATTAGACAAAATAATATAATTTACAAAATACCTTGCAATGACTGTGAGTTGAGTCAACTACACAGGTAAGACTACTAGATTGGGGTAGTCAGATTATCAGAATATAAGAATTTAGCTAAGGTAAGAATGGTTGACCCTGAAAAGATGAGTAATTTAGAAAAAAAGCTCAGCTATTGCCCTTCACGCATTAACAAACAACCACACAATGGAGTGAGATAGGGTTAAAATTCTAAAAAGTAATATAGGTAGGTGGAGAGATAGGTTGATTACGGAGTCCTTGTTCATTGAGTCTACACTCAACTCATGCAACAGAAATGACTCAACGCAAATACCAGAGATATCGAAGATATTACTACGACCAGTCAGTCAAATCAGAAGAGGATAATAAACAATCTCAAAATTCTATTTCAATTCAAGCACATCACAACATTCTAAGAATTAACTTATTATGACTATAAGAACACTCGTTTTATTTCCCATTTGATTGTAATGGATCAATAAAACTCGTACCATTATTTCTGAATGTACATTATCCCATATTGATTTTTATTCAAATATCTAGTCGATTCCACTCATGAATACAAATAAAGGAAAAAAGTTGTGTGAGTAACTTGATATGATTATGAGCAATAGTTTGTGCTCGAAACGTCATCAGTTAATATAACTATAAAACACATTGTGAGACTTTATCAAAATAAAATCTTATCCATAATGAAGATATATTGTTATTGAAATTATGTTTCGAAGAGCACGGAACGAACGTGTGTGAACCCACACAGAATATATAACACACGGAAAACAATTTTCAGAGCCAAAACCACAGTGACCTTGAACAACCAGTCGGAATTCAGACGCGAAAAAGTCGCATAATCGTTGAAAAATACACTAAAACACATTGTAAACATGATATTACACTGTATAGTTGTAGCTTATGTGTTGTAAGAATGTCTCTCAGTCAATGCATCAATGATCTATGGAGAATTCTCTATAAATCACACATGCGTGACATACCTATTCATCCAGGTGACTGTAGGTATTTTGAGATCGATTGATATTTCTGACACTATTCTCCTACCTACTCCTACTCAACTCAGCCAAGTTAAACTTTAAGCACGAGTAAATGTCAACGGAGTACAACGGCACCAATGACCTCGAAATACTCAGAGAACATGTTAAGGAAACCTGGTAAACAGTACTGTAGGCAAGCTAGCCTTTTCATACCTTCCACATCCGATGGCTATATCTCACAGCCGTAGAGGAGGATGAAGTGAACTTCTGGGCTGTGCAGTACACACACGTCCTATGATCGGTAGCCAGACGGATATCGTGTCTACTACAGAGATAATGTCAGCTGGCAAATGCCACACGAGGTTTTTGTATCCGCGCTACGATTTCGTTAGCAATCAGTCCGTTGGAGGTGATGAAACTTCTTAAATAACGGAAGTTGTAAATTATTATGACCTTTAATTTCCCCTCATGAAATCATCAAAAACATAGTTCATCATCTCAAAGAAAGTAATTACTACCCGCACAAAAACATATATATATTTAAAACAATTAGTTTCCTTTATGAATTTAGACAAAGCAATAAGAAGGCTAATTTGTCTGAATCGTGTAGTGTATTTACGCAGCACATTTCGAACAATCTGATCACGCACGAGATGATATTGTAATCATCAGTGATAAGTCTTGTTCTGCCACCTCAATTTTAAATCGAATGAATGAAGTTCAGAATAGCATAGCACTTACATCTGTAGAAGAGGAAGGCAATTGTTTATCTTTCCAAGATATATTGCTTAGTCAACGGCTTGATGGGTCAATAAAACGATCTATTTATAGAAAACCTACCTGGACAGGACAGAACAGTATCTCAGTTATCACCGTTTCTGCCCTGTTCGCTACAAAAGAGTCTTAGTAAGGTGCCTTTTCAGTAGAATCCAACGTATATGCACTGAAGACACACTTGATGAAGAAGAAAGAAAGTTGACCTAAACTCTGATTGATAATAATTATCCAGACAGGTTCATTAGGAGATATCAAGCAGTCAGAAAAACAAGACACCCACTCTCCAACTTGTCCGTAAGAAAGACGTGTACATCAAACTACCCTATATGAATGATCATAGCAGCTTGACAAATAGAAAATGGTTGAACGCTGCTGTTAAAAAGACTTTTTATGCAACTCATATCATAATAATTGAGAATGTGAAGCCAATATATCCATTCATATAAGCCCTTTGAACATGCGAAAAATGATGTCACATCCCACTGTATTTACCAATTTGAATGTCAGTGTGGACACACATACATAGGGAGGACTTGTCGATCTCGGCAAGTAAGGGCTTCAGAATCAAATAGAATCCCCAGTACCCAATAATGGTGAGAACAGGAGACCTAGCTCCTTTATTGCGACACATATTATGGAAACAGGACATAAAATTGACGTTAACAGATCTTTTAAACCTATCTATAAAACGTGTTTGGGGTGTATCCTAAAGCTTGTGCAAGCCCTAGCTGGCAATTAGAAAGTTTAAACCACTTTTATGCGTTGGAAGCAACAATTCGTCATCACACTAACTAAACTTTCCTTGGTAAACTTTGTTTTGATAACAGTCAGGATAGATGTACTAATACCTCTGTTATTTGGTTTAGTGATCTTCATTGTTATTTTCACCTTCAATATGTCGTGTTAACTTGACCTAACTTGTATACTTTCTCACCTCTTACCTCTTTATTAATTTCAGATTGTTCGAAATGCGTGTTGCGCAAATACATTACACAATTCAGACAAATTACGTCTTCTTCGTCTTCTTCACACAATTTCCTCCATGTCACTTTTAAATCCGCGCAAAATTCATAGTTTCCTATTTAAGTTAAATTCGAGAGCCAGTAAGCTTGAATTCACTGTACTGCTTCCATTTTCCTAATCGTTTCTAGCTGACCATTTGGTTTTCAGTGTCGAGCAAAGACAGCTGGTTAATAAAAGCCTGTAGCCTGTTGGAAATGCTCTCCGTCACACGTTAAGTCTCTAAACCATGTAGAATTACAGAATAATAAGTTGACAGTAGTGCTGAAAATCTGAATCTTGTTTCTTCTTTTTATTCTAAGTGCAGCAGATTTCCACGCTGATATCAGACTAATGAAGGCCTGTCTAGCCTTTCCAGTCTGTTCCTGGCTTTGATACCTTCATTTGTACCGCTTGAAGTTGAAACAAGGAGTTAACTTCCTTTATATTTTTCCTCTTGTGACGGTGTTTGATTCATTCTTGGTGTTGTTATTTGGGTGGGTATCTTTATCAATTCCCTCTTCTCCATTTTCACTTCGATTCCGGTCTTCACATGTACATCTTCGAATTTCAGTGATATTGGATATAGATAATCTGTGTAGTCCAGACCTGATTATTATTATTCCCTTGAGTTCCAAGTGTAAAATAGGCCTTCAACAATACAGCTCCATATTAATATATATGTCAAACTTGGGCACTGTAGTAGTAAGTAATTCCATATTAGTTTGTTTATTTGATATATCACACAGTGAAACAGTATTATTTACTGGATGACAAAGTTTCGAACAAAATTTATTGTTCATAATCATTTCATCAATAATAATCACGCGACTCTGACCTCTCTTTGACCTCTCCTATTTGTCGTTGGGGTAGTAGAATTTTCCAGATATCTGGGACAGGTGTTGAATCATTCCCATTACATGCATTTGCAGTTGATTCGATAAACAAAGCTTCTGTTAACAATCTCTCCCTCCACCATGTTACATTAGATTTTGAAACTGTCATCCAATCCAATCCATCCTATTGTATGGTTGTGTGTAATTGCATGTAGTGCTATCCACGTCTGAACTATTCTCTAGATTTATTCTCTTATTCGGGTCAACTAACCAAGATTTCGCTGCTAGGTTTTTATGTTCGGCTAGTCTGACTGCCCCTGTTCTGCTAGTTTGGCCTATGTATTTGAGTTTAACACTTAGCACTAAGTAGCACAAAAAAAGACCTAACTAATGAGATAAAACAGATAGAAGAGGCGTTGGTGTTAAATAACTATCCTTTAAAGTTCATTAGGAAGATTGGAAAAGGCCAAAAGAAAAGTAAAAAGAATTGTGAAACTAGTAATAATAACATAAATAAGAGAGAATATAAGTCATCTACAGCTATACCATATAAAGAGGAGACATCTGAGACCCTACGTAGGATTCTAAATAAAGCAGGAATTAGGGTGGCATTTAAACCTACAAACTCACTCAGGTTGGACAAGCTGTGTAGGTTAAAGGACCCTGTCGCTTGACCCAATTAGACAAAATAATATAATTTACAAAATACCCTACAATGACTGTGAGGTCAACTACATAGGTCAAACTAGTAGGTCACGGGTTGTTAGATTGTCAGAACATAAGAATTTAGCTAAGGTAAGAATGGTTGACCCAGAGAAGATAAGTAATTTAGAGAAAAGCTCAGCAATTGCAATGCATGCATTAGCACACAACCACACAATAGGGTGGGAGGTGGTTAAGATTCTAAGAAGTAATCTATGTAGGTGGACAGAGAGGTTGATTACTGGATCCTGGCTGGTTCATCGAGTCTACACCCAACACATGCAATAGGAATGATTCATCACTCACACCCGAAATATGGAAAATATTACTACCAATCAAATCAAGTGAAAATCAAGTGACAAACAATGGAACTATATAAATGAATTTAGGAAGTCATGTGATTACCTTGATATGATTATGAGCAATAAATTGTGCTCGAAACTTCATCAGTAAACATTACTGTAAAGCGAACACTGTGAAACTTTATCAAAACAAAATTTACCCATAATGGAATTACAGCTCCACTTTGTTCTAATTTCTGCCGTCCTCTTCAGCTGGATTCACCACTGGCTATAATCTCTCATCACCTCCTACCAACACACAATCTCCTGTATATCACCCTCGCACCCACTACCCAATCGTCGCTTCGCATTGGGGCTTTCCGTTCGACAGCCTCCTCAACGTAGGTGTAATCCATCTCCACTTTCTCCTACATATCTGTTGAGCAGTCGGCTCTCGCCTGATGGTTTGTTCTCAGCAACAGTTTATTGTTGATAATTCTTTCTGGCCAACCGGCAGGCCATTTGATCTTCAGTCTGGAGCCAGCTGGTGAAGGTGGCAGCTGTTGATAAAAGTCTGCAGTGGCTTGTTGGATTTCCTTTTCGTGACATTCGGTGCAAGTTTCTGACCCGTATAGAAGAACTGACTGACTGACTTAACATTTTTATTGAAAATCCGAATCTTGTTCCTTATACTGGCTGTGTGCAGAAGGTTTCCAAACTGGTTTCAGATTAGGGAAGGCGTATCTTGTTTAATTAGGCATACTAAAGTGTCACCCTGCTTCTGATTCACCATTGATTTAACGAAAATAATCCGTATCCTTTAAAAGTGGTATTATAAAATACATTTAAGAAATACCTTAGTTACTCACTTACCTTTAGTGTATAATCTTCAACAGAAGAAGCTGTCAATGATGGACAGGCATTGATTTCTAACAGCCATGGTTTTAAATTATCATCCAAGAGTATATCGTAACCGTAGAGTTCAAAACAACGTTTATCATTAATGATAATTTTTTGTACACTTAATAAACTACCAATAAATATCATATCGATTTGATGAAATAAATCTGCAACCTATAAAATATCAAAGGAAAAAAAGAAAAGAAAATTTACTTAATCACAGATATGAAGATAATATTGGTCTGATTTCCCACAAACTTGAAGATATGCAAGCGAAAAGCAACAAGTTAGAAGAAGAAGCATCAAAGATAGGACTTCAGGTGAACATAGAGAAAACAGACGTGATGAAGGTTCCTGGACAAGAACAACAACAGACAACAATCAGCATGAATGGAAGGAACCTGAAAGAAACAACCTCCCTCACCTACCTGGAAAGCATCGTTTCAACTACAGGTGGATAGAACTGATGAGAATATCAAGGCTAGAATCGGGAAAGCAAGACAAGCTTTCACTACTCTCAAGTTTGTGTGGAGGTCAACAGCACTCAGCATGAAAATGAAAATAAGATCCGGATTTCCAACTCCAATGTGAAGTCAGTCAGTGCTACTATACGGATCAGAGACTTGCACTGCGCGTCATGAAGAGCATCTCAAACAAACCACAGACCTTCATTAACAGTTGTCTTCGCTCAATGCAACTCAAGATCAGATGGCCGGCCAGAAAAGATCAGCAACAGAGTGGGATCTCTGGGAGCGAACCAACTAGGAACCGATTGTGAAACAAATAGGCAGGAAGAAATGGAGATGGATTGGCCATACTCTGAGGAAACCACTAAGTGACATCACTAGACAAGCCATTCCTCGAGTGGAACCCGAAAGGGAAGCGGCGAGTTAGCTTGTCGTCAGTGCAAGGGTGACTTGGAGGAGGTCATGTGAAGAGGAGATGAAAATGTGTGGGCAGACATGGAGCCAGGTCAAAACTCTAGCAGAGAACCGAACGCAATGGAGACGCACGGCTGAAGCCCTATGTTCCTCTAGGAATTAAAGGAAACAATAATAATGATAATAATAGATATGACAGTTATGCATTTGAAAACGTTTATTTCCCTATACGAATTTAAAACAAGCCACAAAGATTAATAAATATGATGGAGGAGGAGATTTGTAGCTCAGGTGGATGATTTTGATGTGGTTGTGTTCTCTGAGCTGACTGGATAGTTAATTTGCGAAGCTTTCATTGCCCTACTTACTAGGCAACATCTTCAGTGCACACTCCTTCAATTTGAACTTCAATTTCAATCTCAGAAATCACTGCAAGACTCTTCAAACCTTTAGGAATTGACGTCGCACATAAACCAACAAAATCACTTCACTCAGCTGGCTCTGTGTCAACCAAAAGACGAAAGAAGATAAAACCGACATCATCTGCAAAATAAATTGTAACAAATGCGAAAAACACTACATTAGCCAAAATGGACGACATCCCCTTTGTCTTCGTATCCATGAACATAAGCTAGCCGTCAAAAGACATGAAATCCACTCCCTCATATCGTCTCACTGCACACAGACAACCACGGACATCAAATCGACTAGGACAACCAGCGTTCAAATATTAGACAGAGGAAACACCATGAATGCTAGAGAATTTTTAGAAGCCAGACTGGTATTCCAGTGAATCGTCAATCAATAGACACATCTATCGACATAGACAAAATTTACCAACCGATAAGAAGAAAGCCTCACACACAAAGGGTTAAACTTCAGGTCAAGGAAACAATCAACACGTTCAAAGTCACCCACCAGAAGAGATGACTTATGAACTCGTGGAGAAATCTAAAAGCTTATTTCAACAAATTGAATAGTATGCGCTGAATATGTTGCCTAGTAGGGTGATGAAAGCTTCGCAAATTAACTATCTAGCTCAGAGAACACAACCACATCAAAAAGATTAATAAAGCAGGATTCAATGAATTCATCAAATTTCGGTAGAACTCGTCAGCTGAATACTCTACATACACGCGTCGATGAAGAGTCCCAAACTGGGCTGAAGAAACAGCTGTCTGACAGTACTCCCAGGCTTTGCAGAGGTTCGGTAACTGATGTCAGCTCGAGATTAGTCCTGTAACCAATCAAACCCTTGTAAAACTATCCTATTAATAATGTCATACGTTAAATATCATAGAATTTCAAGAGAAAATTATACTTCAGAATGAAACTTACCTTATCATACCCATACTGAGCCAGAAGTTGTCGACGTAATCGACCAATAGACCATTTACAGCCTTTTTCAGCATCATAGTCTGGTGCAGTCTTTTGTACAGCAATATTTGTTAAATGTATATCTTTAAGTTTAATAATGTTAGTAATGATGTAACATGTATTTTGTAATCTAAGAGTTAATTCATAAATAGCAAAGAATATCTTTGGTTGATCAATAGTAATTCTAATGAACAAAACGCATAAATTTAATTTAGATTAATTGATTTGTTGAAGATGCCCAGCCATTCGGAAGGACATTAAAATTGTACCTATACCTAAGTCGTCTACTACAACATGTTTTAAATTTAGACTTATGCTATTACCTCTCCTTTTCTAAAAACTATGGAAAAGTTACCCTTACTTAATCTTCAACCTTCACTTAAAGCCTTTAACGATCTCAAACAATTCGCCTACAAACATAGCAGAAGTACTTTAGATGCAGCTGCAATCTTGCATTACAACATTGTCTCCAGTTTGGACAAGGGGGGCTAAATTTGTTCGCTGCAGCTTCCTAGATGACACGTCTGCTGCTTTCGACTCAGTACTTAGGGCTATTTTGTTCAACAAGCTTGCTGATACTCAAACTGACTGTTGCATTGTCAAATGACTGTATTCTTATTTCTCAGGAAGAAAGCAGTACACTGTGTGTCAGGAAAAGTCGTCTAATTCTTTGCTTACTGAGGCTGGTGTCTCTCAAGGTACTGTCTTTTCACCTTTTCTGTTTTCTCTCTTCTTGCATGACCTGCCTCCCTCTGATGAAATGAACTTTGTTGAGTATGCCGATGATCTAACTATTTCAATATCTGTTAACTCCCACTTAGACTGTACTAAGATGAACAGCTTTCTATCAGGAATAAGCAAATGGTCTTCGTCTAATAGCCTTAAACTAAATCCTTCCAAATGTCAGACTGTTAATTTCAGTTTCCGATGTAAAAGAAAGTTAAATGAAGCTTTTGGTTCCTATGACCGTTGCAAAATTGATGATATTAATATAGAAATCAAGTCTGAAGTTAAGTATCTTGGATTAATTCTTTCTTCTGACCTATCCTGGTCTTCCCATGTCTTAGCGATTTCTAAAAAAATATTTCGTCTGACTTTTTACATTAAGAAGTTAAGGCATTCAGGCATAACTCAACCACTCCTCTTACAGTTTATCAACTCGTGTATTTTACCTATTCTTCTTTACTGTTCACCATTATTCTTTCCTGGATTGCTTAAAAAAGACTATGTCATACTTCGTAGAACTCTGAAGACTGTCCGTCAGTAGGGCGAGTGGTGGTATCCCATTGGGCCATATCGTTGACATCGTCATTGATAGGCACTTGATTTCATGCAACAAATTTGCTAAAGGAATTTTGTCAGACTGTGAGCACCCACTCTACCCACAGCTCCAACCTTGTGTCTCCTCAGGTAAAACAAGAAGTCTTTTCAGAAGAATTTATGCACGTACGTCTAAGTATAAAAATTCCACTATACCATATTTAGCACGTACTTTATGTGATGAAAATAGTGTTAGGCATGAACTAACTAACCTTCTTTGCACTACTAAATAAACCATTTCCTCCACCCTTACAACATCAACCTTTATTGTTATTGTATTTCTTATATTTATAATCCTCTCAATTTTTTGTTTTTATTTGTTTACTTTTTCATAAGTGTGAACATCATTTAAGCTGTGTTATAACTGTTAATTTTGTATTTCCCCTCACCATTATACTGTATCAACAGAACATTAGATTCAATAATCTATAACATGCTAAAATTTTCAAACTGAATCGACAATACTGTTTGAAGCAAACTCACTGTTATTATTATTATTACATTTACTATTCTCAATTTGTCCTTCGAATATTTTTGACTTTATACCGTAAATGTGGACAAATTCCTCTGGTTAATTTTGTTTTAATTTTATTTATATTTTGAGTAAATCAGATGCAACATTGTGACAAATGCTGAGAATTCCATTCTGTATTATAAGTAGTGCTGTTTTTGGAATAAAGTAGATTATTTGCAGTTAATAGTGTTCTCTGAGCTGGTTGGTTTGGTTGCGGAGCTTTCGTCGTCCTTCTGGACAACATCTTCAGCGCTCAAAGAACACTATTAACTGTAAATCATCCACCTGAGCTACAAATCTTCTCTATTATTTCAAAGTAGATTATTATTTCAATACTTATTTCTGATAAATTCATCATCATGTTCTACATTTATATGACCATAATAATTACAAAATTATTACACTGCAAGAGAATCTCTAGCATGGAACCAGTCAACAACCTACTGACCAATAAGCATGCAGAAAGAAATGGCGATAAGTTTAACCCAAGCTCTGATAACACTCAAATGATATCACACTGTCTGTCTGTCTGTTTTCGACATAGAACTTTGCACATATGTGCAGCAGTTCGTCACCACACTCCCCCCAGGTAGCACACAAAGCAAGAGAAGAAAGCAAAAAGAAATGCATAATATAGACAGTAAACAGAGGTGTGAGACAAAGGAATAGTAATAACGGAGAACAAAACAGTTTCATTGGAAATCATGTCACAAGGAGTGGATGCATCTGCGCCCATCCATTGAGAACGATTTTAAGCCATGTCACCAATTGTTCCCAACCATTGGTTTTTATCGTCCCGAGGACCCCAACCAGACAACAGTCTACACCCTCCTATGTGGCCTAAACTAACTGTTGTAGATTTCATTGACTGGTGCCATGTTTGGTTTGACCGCCGCTAGCTCTTTTCCACCCTGACCCTAAATCAGCTAGCATTGCCCGTCGAGGAAGGCGATGACTAGGCATACGTAGCACATGTCCTAACCATCTCAGTCGATGTAATTTCACAGTCTTGTCGACTGATATCACACTGGAGGCAGTTGAGTAGAATCACTTGAGAAGTGAAGGATTCAGAGTGCATTGTCGATTTGAAAAGAGCTCATACGAAAAGGAAATACAAGCTTTTGAGCAGCTACAAACCTAGCTGAAAGGGATGCTACAGAACTGAGTGGAACATAAATTTTTTAGAATAATATGATTTAAGTAAGCTAATACGTGTGAGTCGGTGGCACAGCGGTTAGGAAGCTCGCCGACCATGCACATGGTCCGGGGTTCAATCCCTGACCGACGCACTCCTTTACCTCACTAAGCCAGAAATAATGCTGGCGAAGAGGAAGGGTTAGGCATGAGGCTAGCAACCTCATCCTGTAAAACAAACACTGCTGCAGAAACTTCAAGCCACTAGCTTGAAGCCCTATGTTCCACTGGGGAAAGTTAAGGAAAAAAGGAAGCTAATAAGTATTTTTGACAAATTCTCATCAGACTTTACAGGTGTATTGCTTTGCCTCTATACTCCTCTCAGAACTCAAGAAATGAATACTAATAAAATCAATTAAAAGGATACATTGATCATCAATCGAATCCAATGAAAATCGTGTATTTGAAAAACGCGCAAATCCATCACGATAAACCCATACTTTTAATGGATTGAACTATTAAAACAAAAAATTCCATTAAACAGGCAATTGAATGCATGCATTTCTTACCGATGTGACTAAAACGTAAACGCGTAAATCAAATTTACGTCCACATAATAAGTATGGATTAGTAATATACCTTGAAACAACATAAGTTTCAGGTAATTCACGATTCAACGTATCACCTATTGATTGTTGTTGTTGTTGTTGTGGTTGTTGTTGTTGGTATTGGTATTGGTGTTGATCACATTTCTTTGATTAAAACAAACAAACAAAGAGAGGAAAAAGTGGAGGGAAATTCATTTAAAAAAATGGTTGATATTTTATTTTTACAATTTACTAGTGCTGCACGTTTCCAAGCTTCAATATCTTTTAATTTACGAAAAAGAAATATGCCTTTGCCTTGTGATTTAGCCACCGGTTTCATTATCCATATAGAACCTGGACATTTACGAAATTCTTCAATGAACATATGATATTCCATCTTGAAAAGAAAAACAAAAAGAATGCCCAAGGAGGCAATTAAGGAATTGTAGAATGTCTTACCGGAAGTTCATAGGTTGTAGGGAAAAAGTCTAATCTAAAAATGAAATAGGATTTCATACATTTATTCCCCTTAATGAATTTGAATAAAGCAAGAACAACAGAGGTTTTTGCAGAATAAAATGGCACCATCACATCGTTTATTTCGTCAAACCAAAACATGGCTTCACCAGTCAATCAAATCCACAGCAGTTATTTTAAGCCACGTAGGAAGGTGTAGACTGCTGTTTGGTTGGGGTCCTCCGGACGGTAAAAACCAATAAAAGCTGGAGACAATTTGGTGATATGCCTGGCTCAAAATCATTTTCAGTGTCTAGCGCAAATACGCCCACTCCTTGTGACTTATAATATCCAGTAAAACAATATGGTTCTTCTATATTACTATTCTTTTTGCCTCATATCTCTGATTCCTATCTCTATTTTGCATTTCCTCTTACGTTCTTCTCTTGCTTTGTGTGCTGCATGGAGTGAATGTCTCGACTCGAACTGCTGCACATCGTAGCAAAGTTCTATGCTGGAACCAGCCAGTCAGCTTCTCATCAGCTGCTTGCAAGCCAAAGTCATTATTAAGTATGTATATCTTTGGTGCAATCAAAAATCGATAAATATCCTTCTCATGTTAACTCCAACTGTTTATACAAATTTACATGTATCTGTGGGAGCAGTTACATTGGAAGAACAGAATGAGGAAGGGCATATCTACGACTTTCTGGACATGTACCAAGAAGCCTATGTCTCTTCTGGGAACAAATGCTGCAAACAGTGCCATTGCCAGGCCTCTCCTTGACACGGGGTGGGGGGGCATGAGGTGGACGTCGCAAGATCGTTTAAATTATCAATAGGCAAAAGAGTTCAATTCTCCTCACGTTTGCAGAAGCGATCTCTATCAAGCACTTGAAACCCGATTTATGCGTTCAGAAAGAAGCGGTTATCGGTCTTTCCATGTCCACCTGGTAACTGGATATTTTCACCCCTCTTTCATCTGATTACGTAATGTTGAAAGTTTCCATTGTGTATGATCATTATTGTTCGGAATAGCGTTTAATATTATACATATATATAATTACTGTATGCATATACTGATTGGTTTTTGTTTAAAAATGAACTCTGTGCAAGTATGTTAAAATCGTTTCTGTAGATATACTTAATAATGACTTTGGCCTGTAAGCAGCTGATGAGAAGCCAACGAAATAAACGATGTGATAGTACCATTTTATTCTACAAAAACTACTGTTCAAGTATTGATTTGTAGGGATTTGATTGATTGGTTACAGGATTTCATCATGAGCTGACACTGGTTAGAGAACCATTGGAAAACCACCTGGGAGTACTGCCAGACAGCTGTTTCGTCAGCCTAGTTTGGGACTCTTCATCAGTACGCACCCACCGCCACGGTCCGAATCCAGGACCTTCTGGTTACAAAACGAGCTAGCTCGTAGACCATTCAGCAACCACTGGGACCCGATCCAATGGCCAGCCAGTGCATGAATTCTAACTTCTGCCAAGTGACGACATAGTACGACCGCTAGCGTACTGCTGAATAGTGCCAAACTAGTTGAACGAAACAGCTGTCCGGTACTCCCTGTTAGTTTTCCAACGGTCCTATAACCAATGTCAGCTTATAATAAAATCCTGTAACCAAAAACTGCTGTTGTTCTTGCTTTATTGAAATAGGATTAGTAGAGAATATTATGTTGGGGATACGGGGTTGCGTGGGGTGTGGGGTAGGGTTGTGCGGCGGGTTGTATTCACTTCTCAAATTACTTTTGTCCATCTTGTTTACTATATTCTTTCTCCCATTTACGTTTTAATCGTTTTAGATTTTTAACCATCAGATTTTTACGTGTAAGCTGTAATGGAAAAAGAAGAAGAAGAGATAAATTAGACAAGGATTAGAAGAAATAAGTTTTGTAAAACATTTTTTTCAAAAGAATATGGTTATTGAACAAAGAATATTCTTTTCGATAAATTCATCAACAATAACACAACATTCACCGAAGAGAATCTTTTCAACAACGAATTTATTATCATCTGTACAGTAGTTTATATATGGTTTTTAAAAAATTATATCCGGTGACGGAATTAGGTCAAAGGTGTGAATACATGAAATAATAATAGTATGAAATGCAATTAAAATATTTGTGATTATAATCATAGTTTAATGTCAAGTGGCAAAATAATTAATGTCACATATAGAGAATAATACATAAGGGGTATAGATTTTGGAAAGGGGTACATAACTATAGGATTAGTAGGCGAATATAAAATGTTATATAACATGGTGTAAAATTTGATAAGATAGAATTCAATATTGTAAAAACAAAAAGATTATAATTTTGGATTTAGAGTGATAATTGGGACAAGTGGAAACAACTCAGAGTGAGAATGGTAATAATAATAATAATAATAATAATGATCGTAGTAATGAGGGAAAAGTGCATAGAATAACTAAATAAACAAAATAAATAAATGTCTATCCCTCTACGGCCAAGGCAGAAGTAGGTATTTTACATACTTCTTTTGTACACAAAGGTCTGGCTTAAAGTCATGAATTGCCAAGGCCTCCGCTGTCTCTGGAAGTCTGTAACGTAGAAAACGTGGCAAGTTAGCATGGATTCGGCAGATGATCTTAAGATCATCGTCAATCAGGGTTGGTAGAGCGACAGGAGTCGGTCAGGTGTTCTAGAATAGAGCTAAGCACATACTTCCCTTCCCCCTTGTAAAACCATGCTGTAACATGCTCTCGTATCAGTATGGAAAGCGTCCTCTGGCTACGGCCAATATACCTTGCTCCACAATAGCTGGTGAACTGACAGATGCTCGTGGAGGCGGCCAGACGGGGGAGCATATCTTTTACAGAGATGGAGAACAACTTGTGGCTGGTTAACGTCATTTGTAATTTTGCTGCAAAGAACGTCTTACTGATTGCTTTAGAGAGACGGTTTTTCAGCATATCTGAAGCTTGATCATCTTTGAATTCCAAGTTCATGAATAAGGTTTTCTTTGGAACTGAGTCGGTGACCAGTTTAGACTGCTTATGTTTCGTGTTACTGTCAATAAACCTGTTAGGGTAACCGTTTTCTGAGAGCGTGGCTTTTAGGAAGTCAAGTTCTGAGTGGACGTAATCAGAACTACAAATGTTCCTTATCCTAGAGCAGAGCGAATGAATTAAGTTCCTTTTCCTGGAAATAGTCACCCAACTATCAAAATTAGTTAGCTGTCCGTCCCATGTACGTTTCCGGTGGATGGATCTTTTAAGAGATCCGTCATTACGTACACTAAGGCACACATCAAGAAACGAAATACTAAGTTCAAATTCCTTTTCTACGGTGAATTTTGCAAAGAAGGGTGGCAGTTGTTGAAAGCAAACAACACATAATCAAGAATTACGTTATTATCGCAGATAACGAAAGTATCATCTACATATCTTTTAAAAATGTCGAAATGATTGATGGTTTGACTAAGTTGAGAGTTTTCATGCTTTGTCATAAAACAATCAGCTAGCAAAGGACCCAGTGATGATCCCATCACAATGCCATCTCTCTGTCTAAAAATCTCATTATTGAAGGTGAATTGAACATTCAACGTGCATCTCAATAAAAGTCCTTTGAGAGTTCTTTGACTGTCGAAAACCCTTTTTCTAAACTATGTCTATCAGCATGATTACTTACATAACCATATATATACGATTGTACAGCTTGATAATAAATTCGTTGAAAAGAGTCTCTTCACTGAATATTGTGTTCTTAATGCTACAATGGGAATTATTAAATCATTGAAAAAATTCATCATCATCGTCAGCTTCTACAGTTTTATGCATCCATAATAATGAATGAATTAGTGTTATTAACAGCATTAATGTTGTTGTTTAAATAACATCGAATCAATAATAATAATGATATCAGTGGATCACAGCTCTTGAAGGAACTCACGTCTCTTTTGAGATTCTAAGGGTGATGTCGGTTCGATTCTCAGACGAGGGATATGAGTTCCTTCAGGCTTGACCACAGATATGCCTTGCTGACTGGTTGGTGAGCGCCAACTAGCACTAAACCTAGGTCGAGCAAAGCTTCCTGTGGCCGATTGCCTTTAACCATCTAATATCATCAAACCAATGTGCACTGTGTTGGCGAACCTAGAATGATGGCTACATTGTAAACATGACTGATAGAATTCAGTCTACACCAAGCAGAAGACTAGACACATTACACTAGTTACTAACTCGTATCCAGTCTAAGTCAGTGCTTCTATGTCGTTCAGAAATTCGACACGAGAGTCACGATAAGCATCTGCAACAAGCCGGTACAGACCTAATCGTCTTCACTCGATAGTGAAGATAAAATGACCAGAAGGATAAACAACACGAGACTAGCCGACAATCTATAGTCCTGTAAATTTAATAATAATCAAATGAACTGACTGAAAATCCCCATTAAAATTTTTCAAAAGAACGGTAACTGAACAAAGAATATTCTTTTCGATAACTTCATCATCATCAGGCTCTACAGTTATATATGCATTATAGTGAATGAATTAGTGCTATGAACAACATTAATGTTGTTTAAATAACATCGAATCAATAATAGTAATATCAGTGGATTACAGTTCAATAGCATCAACATAAAAATAAGCTGAATGTCAGAAAAATTAGGAAAAGTAATATTACAAATTCGTGAATTTATAGTCTCTATTGAAGGCCGGTCAGGGCAGTAGTAGGGGCTAGACTTGCTTCTTTTTCACACAGAGCACCGGTTATTTAAGGCGAATTGCGATAGCCTCTGCTGTTTGGAGTATGCTATCAGCCACAGGGTTAGAGTTATATGTTCAGAAGAGGTAAATGAAGATGAACTAAGCATTGTATATGATACCCTGTTTGAAAATAGCTATCTTGGAATGATACTGTTAGGTTAATGAAATTTACGCATCTGAAGGGGAATACAAACCAAAATTGACCAATTTTAGGTCAAGCTACTGAGTCACTTATCATCACCAACACTTATCAACAAATTCAACAGACCAACAGTTAACTGGAAGATATAAACACTTTGGATATTTCTTAGATGGGTATTCCATAAACAAGTTTGACCACAGATTGGTATCAGTTGGAGGAACTTATAAAACCAAGAAGTACTGGACAACTATTTCGTCCAATTTTTGAGGTTCCTTAACTGTGAGCATCCACTGTGGTCTAAATTCAGCACCTTCCAGTTGAAAGGCAATCCCGTAAACCATTCAGCCATCGGGACCCAATCCAATAGTCTGTTAATTCCATCTTCTGCCAATTCGATATATATACATAGTGTGAGCACAAGCCAACGTCTTAGGCGAGTAACCATCCTCTTGCCACACTTGGTGGACCCCGCCGGTTGGGACTTCTTAGAGGAACTCAAGGTAACTTCTTGCATAGAGCTAGTCACTAGTGAACATCAGAATAATTTTCAAGTGATGGTTTGCAGGGATTTGAATAGAAGTTGGAATTCGTTGGCTGCCTAGTGGATACGGTCCCTTTGTCTGAATGGTCTACCCCAGCTTGCTATGTAACCAGAAGGTCCTGCGTTCAAACTTCAGTGGATTTCGACTACTGAAGAGTCCCTAACCAGGGCAAAACAGTTTGTCAGTACTCCCTGGCTTTAGAATGATTTTCTAACCAATGTCAGATAGTAATCAAACCTGTAATCAATCGGATCCTCACAAAGCAACACTTGAAAATAAATTACGGTAATTATTTTCAACTCTCAAATATGAAATATTCTTTATCTATTGATGTCAGCTCAGAGAGTGGAACATAATGTCTGAATGGTAACGTACTTGCCCTGTAATATAAAGTTCCTGCCTTCCTAGGACTTTCACTGTACACTATCAAGAAGTTAGAAAACAGGACAAAACAGATATCTGGTTCATGGATAATCTTCATTCAAGCATAGATGAAAAGAACAAAACAAACGAATTCATTTTCCTCTTGATACCTGTACAATCGCATTTATAAACAACTTCTTCACGAAAGACGGTAGCAACAAAAGTGATGAGTTGTGATAGGAATAATTTTCTATGGTTGGTTAGTGAAGATTAGTTTTGTTTTTACGAGTTGATCACGGATTGATATCAGTTAGAGAACCATTAAAAACCAGTTCTGGAGTACCGGGCAGCTACTTTATCCTAGTTTGGGAATCATCGGCAGTACACACCAACTGGGGCTCGAACCCAGAGCCTTCCGGTTACAAGACAAGCTCGTATACCATTCAAACACTCGAAGCCAACTCACTGGCCAGCCCATGAATTCTGACTTCTACCAATTCGTGATTTAGCGCAACCACCAACCACTGTCATCAGTTGGAAATCCATCAATACACTTGACTGGTTGGACCTCACTGGTCACGACTTCTCACTAGAACTCCAGGAAACTCCATCCAATAGCAAGTCACTAGCAAGCATCAGATTAATTTTCTATGGTTGATTTGTAAGGATTAGATTTGTTTTTACGAGTTGATCACTGATTGATATCAGTTGATGATTCCCAAACTAGGGTGAAACAGCTGTCCAGTACTCCAGAACTGGTTTTCAATGGTTCTCTAACTGATATCAATCCGTGATCAACTCGCAAAAACATAATCACAATTGTTAATATTAGCCAGGGAATAAAACGAGTCGAAAAAATGAATTAGATTTGCGTAATGAGATGTATAATTTAATTTAATGTATGAGTTGTAATCAGGATGTGCACATAGAAATGAGGGATAATGTGAAATTACCTAAGGATCTGAAAGAAATACAAAGGTTATGAGGAGTGAAAAAAATGAGCAAATAGAAAGCCAAGTCAGTAGAAATCTACAATGTTGTTACAACGATTGCAGAAGTGGTTGAATAATCTTATTTGTATGCAGTGCTCCGTTTTCTCTGTTAGAATGGCTAAATTCTCAACAGTGCAAAGGACACCAAAAGCGTTATGGATAAGATTTTTTTTCGACAAATCACACAATGTTGTTATACAGTAATATTAACTGATGACGTTTCGAGCACAAACTATTGCTCACAATCATATCAAGGTACTTCTCACACAACTTTCTTGCTTCAAATATATACATGAGTAAAAATTGATGATTAGACATTTGAGTAAAGATCAATATAGCATAATGTACATTCAGAAATAATATTATGAGTGTTATTGATCAATTACAATCAGATGGGAAATAAGACGAATGATATTATAGTCAAAATAAGTAACTTGTTAGAATGTTGTGATGTGCTTGAATTGAAGTAGAATTTTGCGATTATTTATTATCCTCCTCTGATTTGACTGGTGGCAATAATATCTTCCATATTTCTGGTATTTGCATCGAGTCATTTCTGTTGCATGTGTTGGGTGCAGACTCAATGAACAAGGATTCAGTAATCAATCTCTCCACCTACCTATAATAATTTTTAAAATTTTAACTCTCTCACACCCACCCTATTGTGTGGTTGTGTGTTAATGCATGCAGTGAAGTGTAGTGCTGAGTTGTTTTTTTTCTAAATTACTTATCTTCTCAGGGTCAACCATTTTTATCTCAGCTAAATTCTTAAGTTCTGATAATCTCACTACTCCTGATCTACTAGTCTGACTCACCTATGTAGTTGACTTAACTCACAGTCATCGCAAGGTATTTTGTAAATTATATTATTTTGTCTAATTGGGTCCACTGGATCCTTCAACCTAAAGAGCTTGTCCTGCCTGAGTGAATTTTTAGGTTTAAATGCCGCTCTGATTCTTGTTTTATTAAGAATCCTCCTCCCCTCCTGATATGGTAAAACTACTGTAGATGCCTTATATTCTCTCTTATTTATTATTATTGTATCATTTAATTCCTACAGGAACATAGGGCTTCAGCCGTGCGTCTCCATTGCGTTCGGTTCTCTGCTAGAGTCTTCACCTGGCTCCATGTCTGCCCACACGTTTTCATCTCCTCTTCACATGACCTCCTCCAAGTCACCCTTGCACTGACAACCAACTCGCCACTTCCCTTTCGGGTTCCACTCGAAAAATGGCTTGTCTAGTGATGTCACTTGATGCATTGTTTCCTTAGAGTATGGCTAATCCACCTCCATTTCTTCCTGCCTATTTGTTTCACAATCGGTTCCTGGTTGGTTCGCTCCCTGAGCTAGAGATCTCTGTTGCTGATCTTTTCTGGCCATCTGATCTTGAGTAGTATTGAGCGAAGACAACTGTTAATGAAGGTCTGTAGTTTGTTTGATATGCTCTTTATGACGCACTGGCCAAGTCTCTGATCCGTATAGTGAGTAGCACTGACTGACTTCACATTGGAGTTGAAAATCCGGATCTTGTTTTTGATGCTGAGTGCTGTTGACCTCCAAACAGACTTGAGAGTAGTGAAAGCTTGTCTTGCTTTTCCGATCCTCGCTGCTTTGATATCTTCATCAGTTCCGCTTGTAGTTGAAACGATGCTTCCCAGGTAGGTAAAAGAGGTTGTTTCTTTGAGGTTCCTCCCATTTATGCTGATTGTTGTCTGTTGTTGTTGTTGCTGTTGGTGGTGTTGCCCAGGAATCTTCATCACCTCTGTTTTCTCTATGTTCACCTGAAGTCCTATCTTTGATGCTTCTTCTGGTAACTTGTTGCTTTTCGCTTGCATATCTTCAAGTTTGTGGGAAATCAGACATATGTCATCATCGGCGAAGTCCAGATCCTCCAAGTTTTTTGTGTGAGTCCATTTTATGCCTGTTTCCTCATTGCCCGCTAATTGTCACATTATCCAGTCTACTGCAATCAGGAAAATCATTGGCGATAGTAGGCAGCCTTGTCTTACTCCTGTCCTCACTTCGAAGGGTTCCGTAAGTTTCCCGTTGTGGATTACTTGGCATGCATGTTATCATTATTAGTTTCACTATTATTTTTATTTTGCATTTGACCTTTTCTGATCTTCCTAATGAATTTTATAGGATAGTCAGTTATTTAGCACCAACGAATCTTCTATCTGTTTAATTTCGTCATTTAGGTATTTTTGTTAGTGCTATTGCTCGGTTTGTTAGACACTTAACTAAGCCTGCCTTTGGAGACAACGGACGAGATGGAATTAAAGTCTAAGTATCTGTTAGAATACGCTGGCTTTTAATCATTGTGATGAAAGCGTATTAGAACAAGATATATAAGCGAACAATATTGTTTTCAATTAGATCTTCTTCAGGCTTCACTCTCTAATTTACATGTCTATTTATAGATAAAAATTTTAACCAATGACGGTGATTTTGTGGATCAAATAATAATAATGATGTGATGAATGTTTTGAGCGTCATTAATAACGATGATTATAATGATCACAGAATAGTGATAATAAATAAGGTTTGTGCAGGTGGCGATAAGAATAACGAAGATAGTGAGTGATTTGCGTATATGTAGACAATTCAATAAATAAATAAATTAGGTCAAATCTCAAAAGTTACGTAATACTAAAGGTAGGTGAAGTGGACAGATAATCAGAGTTTAAATAAATATCAGAAAAGTACAAAGGAAATGGAGAATAAGAAAGAGTGGGAGGGTTTTGATTAGAATTCACCTAGGCAAGCAAGGAGAGACACAAAGGTAGAACAAACTTGTTTTGTATGCAAAGACACTAGGATTGTTCTTAGGAATTCATTCTCATAGCTTCGGCTGTGTGTTTAACAGGCGGGTTCGAATTCCGCTCGGAAGACTCGATGGAATGCGATAGATAACTTTGAAGGCACTATTTCTGTCCACCTGGTGACAGCTGTCATCAATCAAATGAGCCAAAATGGAACTTCTCATAGATTTTGTTTGACCTTTCCAAACCATGAAGGAAGATGCTGATTAATGCGTTTGTTAAGCTGTCTAGTTGTTCGCCCTATATAACTCTCACCTCAGGAGCAGCTGAATTAGTAGATACACATAGAAGTGGCACAGCTAGGTAGCTTGTCTTTCGCTTGGTGGCAGTATAAGTTCGTTTTATTGCTCTTGATAATCTCAGATGTGAGACTTCACCAGCCACGTCCCCATTAAATTGCAATTTCATGAGCAGTTGTTTCTTTTTAACTGTTGTCAGTTTCTCTTTATTGTACTTGGTGTTCATGTGTCTGCTTACAAATCTACTAGGATAACCCATTTGAACCAGCGTATTTCGGATGTATCCTAACTCATTTTGTAGGTAGTCATCTGTACAGATATTGTCTTTATATTGTCTTTAACAGGCTGTTCATCACTTTGTAGATTAATTGAAGGAGGAGACGTTTATCAGGATGGAATGATCAGCGTTGAAAAAGGTATTCATTTATCGCAGTCCTCATATAGCCAGTGCTTCCTTTCTACAACCATATAGGAGTGTGTTCTTAAACTCTTTTAGACAGGATACGCACAGAACTACTAATAAATCCGGTTCCATAGGAATAGGTGAACTCTACATAACTCTTGCACTTCTTTCGAATTCTCAGGTAATGTTAGCCTGATTATAACTCATTTATTCAATTAAATCGTACATCTTATCACGTAACGCTAATACACCCATTCAACTCCCTTTATACATTTGTTAATATTACCATCAAGTGAGATCACACGACAGGCCACCGCTCGAGTGGAACTCGAATGGGGAGCGGCGAGTTAGTTGGTCGTCAGTGCGAGGGTGACATGGAGGAGGAGATGATGTGAAGAGATGAAAGTATGTGGGCAGACGTGGAGCGAGGTGTAAACGTTGGTGGAGAACCGAACGCAATGAAGACGTATGGCTGAAGCCCTATGTTCCTTTAGGGCAATTATGATTATCAAGTATTGATTTTGTAGGGATTTATTTTGATTGGTTGGAGGATTTCATTATGAGCTGACACTTCAGTTAGAGAACCATTGGAAAACCAGCTGGCTAGGAGTACTGCCAGGGGTTCGAACCAAGGACCTTCTGATTACCAAGCGAGCTCGAAGACCACTAAGCCACTAGGACCCAATCCAATGACCAGCCCAGGAACTCTAAATTCTGCCAATTCACGACATAGAGTGACCACTTCGCAGTGTATTCTTCTTCGATGGGTTCCTACCTCACTTTCAACCTGCTGCACCCTACTGGTCACGGTTTCTCACTAGAACCACAGGTTAACTGCCTGAATGGGGCCAGTCGCTAGTGAGCATCAGATGAATTTTCAAGTAATGGTTTTGTAGGGATTTGGTTTGATTTGTTGGAGGATTTCAATATGAGCTGAAGAGTCCCAAAACTAAATGGACGAAACAGCCGGCTGTCCAGCACTCCCTGTTAGTTTTCCAATGGTTCTCTAACGGATGTCAGATCATGATGAAATCCTCCATGCAATTATGATTATGACAACTCATCCTCTTTTGTTACTACCCTCTTTCATTAAAAGGTTGTACATAAATTCGATTGTATAAAGGTATAAAGAGGAGAATAAATTCGCTGAAAAGATTGGCAATTCTCCTTAGTTTCCAACAGTTCCTTTACAGCTGTTATCACTTTGTGGTGTTGCCGTGTACAAGTAACAATATAATTTTAAAATGACTTAAAATAGAAATATACAAAAATTATACTTTGACATACTTCGAAATGATTACGAAAATGACAAATTTTCAATATATTCCCCATTAATCCATGATCAAATAACTCTTTCATAGCCATTGGATCACACCAGTAGAAATCACATTCATCTTCTCTGGAGAAGTGGAAAAATTAAAGAAGAAACACAACAATAAAAATAACAATCAAATGTTTCACCCTTGATTACTTTCATACACATATCAAGTTTGATCACAGAGTGATATCGGCTATAGAACTATTTAGAAGCAGAGAGTACTGGACAGGTGTTTCGTCCTTATTTAGTACTCTTCGTAAGTATGCATACATAACCCAACCAGGAGTCAAGCCTAGTTAGTACCTTCAAGTTACGAGCCAAGCAATTGATGTTCACTAGTGACTGACCACAAGTTCTAGTGTGAATTCGTGACCAGTGAGGCCCACGATGTGTGGTGTAAGGACAAATAATCGCCGCTGGTGGTGGCGCTAAAACTCACAAGTTGACAGAAGTCGGAATCAACAGACCACTAGATTCTGTTCCAGTGGCTCCCGAGCTCGACCCCTCGTAGGGTCATGGGTGCATACTGCCGAAAGATTCCAAACGGGGATGAGACAGCAGTCCAGTACTTCTTGGTTTTCAGTGGTTTTCTAGCTGATATCAGTTCATGACCAAGACTTCAAACTAGTCAAATTCCTACAAATTAACACTTAAAAATTAATCTGATGTTTTCATTTGACAGATAATGAAAGCATGTGAACCAGTTACTTTCAGATCAACTGTTCTTGAAGAAATTATATTATTAAGACTAAAATTTAGATCAATAGACAAAAGACCAGTAGTTCAGCGAAGAGTCTCTTTTCGGCGAATTCGCCGAATAAATTGCGAATAATAAAGAGGATGTTTGGTATCATACCTGATAACTTTAGCCAGTTGCTTGCGAGAATTGAGGTGCCTACCGACAACAGTGTCAGTTATTTGAGTCAAAGACACGCCACTAACACTACTTATAACCTTCAGTATTCTGCATCATATGATATAATCTTTTTTTTGAGAAATCCAGTGAAGAATAAGTGGGGCGAACAATAAAGAAGGTGAATGGGTAGAATACATGAATTGATAAATTGTAAGAGAAGAGGTAAGGTTGAGTTATGCCAGTAGAAGGTCTCAACTTCTTTATGCAATAAGTTAAACGATAAAGTTTCTTAGAAATCAACAAGGATATGAGACAACCAATAGAGATTCGAACACAAACTGACGTCGAGATGAGAGATATTCCATTTACTCCCTATCATAAGAGTGCCGTCAATATTATAGGAATCATGAGACTGAATCAATCCACACAAGTCACCAATGTCACACTTAGATGGATTCAGTTTAAGACCATTTAGTTGAGACCATCTGTTAACTACAGATAAGAATCTACTCATATAAGAACAATCCAAAGCAGAAACCACTGGGACAGAAATGATTAAATCGTCGGCATATTTAATGAAGTTAGTTTTGGAAGAATATTGAAGGTTATGAAAAAAGAAAAAAATAGGAATGGAGAGAGTGCAGCAGTGCCTTGAGGCACACCAATTTCCGTTAGCGAAGATTTGGAGCACTTTCCATCTAAAACAGTATGTTGTTTTCTACCTGAGAAATAAGAAGTCAGCCATCTTGTGACCCACAACTCAGCGCGTGCCGAAATCAGCTTGCCTAGTAAAAGTACCATAAGAATAGATAGGAGACTCGAACAGACTTTGAACCTCTATCCAAACTTGAAACAAAATTGTGGTGGAGTACAACGACAGCATCTAATGTACTTTTACTGCATTTGTAAGCAAACTGCTTTGTGTCATTAAAAGATTTTAAAGAAGGTTTAAGAGTATGCGGGTGAAGTTTCTCCGTAGTTTTCAAAAATGGAAACTTGATGGCGATTGGCCTAGACTTTAGACTTGATTCCAGAAGATGACTTTGGTGCAGGCACCACCTTTATTTCTTTCCAAGCAACAGGTACTGTACCCCTGTGAAACGATGCATTAAAGATTTGAGTAAGAGGATAACACAAAATATCAGCACACTTTTGGAGGAAAATGCTTGGTACACCATCGGGACCTAGGCTACTTGATGGATTTAAGAACTTGAGAGATGATAATACATCCTTTTCATTAAAAATAGGGAACTAACCATTTACGTGATTAGAAACTTCAGGTCCAATCAGATTAGTCTGTCGCATAATAAAAGCTCGGTTTAAAACATTTACATCAGAATACGCAACAAGTTAAATTTATCCTTTGCTTGTAAGTTGGTTAAAAAGTCTCCAGATGTAAGAAGCACTCTCACATGACAAAAATTCTCCATTATATATCCCATTTAGTCTTTGTATTTCAGACTTCATCACAGAATTCATTCTTCGAAAATCCGCATGTGCTTTATACAAATTCTCTTCTTCGCTTCTAAACTTTTTTAGTTTGGTTTGAGGATTTCATCATGAACTGACATCAGTTAGAGAACCATTGGAAAACCAACTTGGAGTACCGGACAATCGGCTGTTTCGTCAGCCTAGTTCGGGACTCTTCATCAGTACGCACCCGCCAACAAGGCTCGAATACAGGACTTTCTGGTTACAAGACGAGCTAGCTCGTAGACCATTCAGCAGCCACTGGGAGTTGCCCGATCCAATGGCCAGCCAGTGCATGAATTCTAACTTCTACCAATTTATCACATAGTGCAACTGTGGTGAGAGCTGGCTGCTAGCCAAGTTGGTAGACAGTAATTGACGTCAGTGTTTATGTCCCCAATATTGGTGGTGAGAAAATGAGAACAAAGGCTTTGCGTAGGCGGATACAGTTAGCATATGGATGATCTGATACAGTCACAAAGAGATGCAAGGTTGATTTTCTGTGAGAAACAACCAATGAAAAGATTGTATTATCTACTAACAATAATCTACAATAATGTACATTAAAATCTATAAATATGTGTTGATTTTCCTTAATAAACGATCTGTTGCCTGGCCCTTGTCTTCTGTTGTTACACAACCACTTAGTTGTAGAGAAGATTCAAAACAGATTCCCTAAGTATTCATTATCTACCCAAATTTGTCTGAAAAGGTCCGTCTTCATGTCGATGTAATATTATTCCAAATGTTCAACGTACCATGATCATAATGAGTAATTCTATATCAAGCGTTAGTGGAAATTTCTGAAGTATATTAGATATTGTCACAAATATGAATCTTATCATTCCACAGGGTCTCCACATGGTCGCATATTCAAGTGGACGCTGTTGTAGTGCCTGTAAATTAACAAATTCGAATGATTTCTGGAGATTGAGAATAACTACACAAGTGGGATTTTAGTAAATGTAACTATATTCAAGAACACGTGAAGAGACGATGATCTAGTTACTAGTTATGCAGGAGTTGATAGTGTGGTGAGAGCTGTCTGCAAGCCAAAATTGTAGACAACAATTTACGTCAATGTTTACGTCTCGAATAGGGGTCATGGGAAAAAACAATAACAAGGCTTAACCCTGAGGAACTCACCAACCAATCACAGCAGACTTAACACGTGCAAATAGGATTCGCAGATATATGGCTTAACTTTCGGAGAAACAGTCACAAGCAGTACAGAATAACCTTCAGCAAGAAAACAACCAGTCAGAAGACGTTGCTTCTCTGCTAACAATAACGCTAATAATAATGTACATAAAAATCTATAAATATCTGTTGATTTTCTCAATAAACGATCTGTTGCCTGGTCTTTGTCTTCTGTCGTTACAATAGTACTCGCTGATACCAGTGACAAGATAATCATCATTTGAAATATAAAATGAAACATTGTCGATACATCACAAGTCAGAAGGATCTATCCATAACTACAGCAGAAGAATTTATCACCTTTCTTATGGTTTAAAACAGCTAGGCATCTAGACAAGTCTGATAAAACGACATCTAAATTCTACGCAATAACCAATGATGAATTACCACAGAAATAAACCACCTGGTCCTTCTGACTTTTATTCACACACTCTGTTTAATAGCATGTTTTGATGAGATCTGCAAGATGTGTATTGTGGTAAGGTGAATTTAACAGTCAACTTGTTTATCTGACGGCTCATGGTCAAGCCTCCACGCCATCTGGCACACTGTCCTGTTACGTTCGGTTGTTCGTGCACGATCCCTAGCTAGTCAGGCAATCATCTTCGTACTACGATTTCGGTCTCGAAACATACTTCGAACTTTGGAAGATCAACTAGGTGTATTGATTTGTCTTTAGTCAACGCAGAATATGTACCATGTAAGTTGTAGGTATAAGATCTTGCGCTAGTATACATCGTTCTGTCGGTAAAAGGCAACACCGTCAACGTCTAAACAATAAAGACTTATTTCTCAGCGTCCCAAAGCTGCAAATCCTCGAACTACCATTCACCTTCAATTTTCATCACTTTGAAATCAATTTAAAAATCTACACTGCTTAGGAGGAAGAACAGAATTCGGATTTTCAACACCAATGTTAAGTCAGCTCTTTTAAATGTATCAGAAATTTGGCTACAGCCTCACGAAAATACATTTCGAACAGACTACTGCAAACTTTTATCAACAGCTGCCCCTTTCGCCTGCTCTATACTGAAGAACAGATGGCCTGCCAGAAAGAATTAACAACCAAGAACGTATTGCTCAGCAAATTTCTCGAAGAAAATGAAGATGGATCGGACACACACCAGTGAAGATACCGACGAATAGGAAACGCAGAGTGGGGCATGGGTGCTAAAGTGACATGGAGGAGATAAGAGACTACAGGAAATCTCGGGGCCAGATAAAGATGACTTCACAGAAAAGCACAAAATGGGGATGTGCTTCTATATTAGTTTGTTTATTAGATACATCATACAGTGAAACAGTATTATTTACTGGATGACACAGTTTCGAACAAAATTTATTGTTCATAATCATATCAATTGTGATCACACGACTTTGACACTTGAGTTTTATAGTTTTCTTTGTTTTCTCCTATTTGTCGTATGGGTAGTAAAATTTTCCAAATATCGGGGACAGGCGATGAATCATTCCTATTACATGTATTTGTAGTTGATTCGATAAACAAAGCTTCTGTTATCAGTCTCTCCCTCCACCCTGCTGTTACACTAGATTTTAAAACTGTCATCCTCCCCCATCCTATTGTGTGGTTGTGTGTAATTGCATGTAGTGCTATCTTCGGCTGAACTATTCTCTAGATTTCTTATCTTATTCGGGTCAACCAATCTAGATTTAGTTAGGTTTTTATGCTTGGCTAGTCTGACTGCCCCTGTTCTACTACTTTGACCTATGTAGTGGAGGGAGAGACTGATAACAGAAGCTTTGTTTATCGAATCAACTACAAATACATGTAATAGGAATGATTCATCACCTGTCCCCGATATTTGGAAAATTTTACTACCCATACGACAAATAGGAGAAAACAAAGAAAACTATAAAACTCAAGTGTCAAAGTCGTGTGATCACAATTGATATGATTATGAACAATAAATTTTGTTCGAAACTGTGTCATCCAGTAAATAATACTGTTTCACTGTATGATATATCTAATAAACAAACTAATATGGAATTACTTACTACCACAGTGCCCAAGTTTTACACATATATTAATGGGGATGCGCTGTTGAAGCCCTATATCCCACTCGTGCTCAAATTGCTGACAGTGGACGCGGAGTAAAGAGGTTGGATAATTTCTAGGGATATGCTGTTAGTAAGGAGAAAAGATGATGAGACGGCAAAAAAAATAAGGATGGAAATAGCTGGTCATAATCACACCTCAACTTCATATACTGCTGGAGGCATGTAGAATGATTGCCTTCCTCAAATTTCAACACTGAAGAGATTGTTATCTTTCTTGAGTAGCCAACCAGTTAGGAAACTCAACATATTTCACATGATTCTGGAACTTTAGGTACATACATTTGATATCAGCCAGTGGCAGGGAATTAAACAATGTTACATCTTGCAGAGTTGTGTTGAAGCACTACATGGCGCTCGGTCCCAAGAAACAACCCTTTAAAGGGAAAGAAATAAAATATAACAAGTGTGTTTGAACAATGTATCACTTGAAGCAAACTAAAGTTCCTGAAATAAAGGAAGTAAATACCAGAACCAACATAACTTGTTTAACCAATGAAATAGGCAAGCTTTACAACCTCTTTAAAGTGTAGGGTATCAGTTGTATTTTAATGAATTCGATTAAGGAATTTAGGTTATCATTTTGAGAGATTCGCCTGACAACAGTTCTTCGTCAAAGTCTATTAGAAAATAGAGTTCTAGTGAGAAAGAAAATATTCAAAAACTCAAGACAGCGAAACAAAGAAGATGAAGAATTCACCGTTGAAAGTAGTTAAAATTGAAGGAGAAATCACGAACTGAAAGGGTTGAAAAGTTATATCCAGCAATGTAGTTAAAAGTATACCAATGTTTACCACGCCCTAAGCAGGTCGGTCGGTCGATTTTCAACATAGAACTTTGCACATATGTGCGGCAGTTCAAGTCGCCACACTCCATGTAGCACACAAAGCAAGAGAAGGAAGTAAGAGAAATGCATAATATAGACAGTAAACAGAGGTGTGAGACCTAAGCAGGACAATTATATGGTGTTTTACACACTTCATTGGGGATAAGATTTTATTTTGATAAATCACACAGTATTGTTATACAGTAATACTAACTGATGACCACGTTTCGAGCACAAATTATTGCCACTCATAATCATATCAAGTTACTCACACAACTTTTTACCTTCATTTATATACATGTGTGGTATTGACTAAATATTTGAATAAAGATCAATATGGGATAATGTACATTCAGAAATAGTAATACGAGTTTTATTGATCAATTGCAATCAGATGGGGTACAAGACGAGTGTTTTTATAGTCATATTGATTAACTTGTTATAATATTGTGATGTGCTTGAATTGAAATAGAATTTTAGATTATTTATTATCCTCTTCTGATTTGACTGACTGGTGGTAATAATATCTTCCATATCTCTGGTATTTGCGTTGAGTCTCTTCTACTGCATGTATTGGGTGTAGAATCGATGAACCAGGATTCAGTAATCAATCTGTCCCTCCACCTAACTAGATCACTTCTTAGAATTTTAACCCTCTTCCCCACACCCTATTGTGTGGTTGTGTGTTAATGCATGCAGTGCAATTGCTGAGCTTTTTTCTAAATTAATTATCTTCTCGGGGTCAACCATTCTTACCTTAGCTAAATTCCTATGTTCCGACAATCTGATTACCCCCGATCTACTAGTCTGACCTATGTAATTAACCTCACTCAAAATCATTGCAAGGTATTTGGCAAATTATATTATTTTGTCTGATTGGGTCAAATGGGTCCTTTAACCTACAGAGCTTGTCCTACCTGAGTGAATTTGTAGATTTAAATGCCACTCTAATTCCTGCTTCATTAAGAATCCTACGTAGGGAGGGTTTCAGATGCCCTCTCCTTACATGGTAAAACTACTGGTGTAGATGCCTTATATTCTCTCTTATTTATGTTATCATATGTAGTCTCACAATTATTTTTATTTTGCTTTTGGCCTTTTTCGATCTTCCTAATGAATTTTATAGGATATTACCGCCAGTCAAATCAGAAGAGGATAATAAATAATCTAAAATTCTATTTCAATTCAAGCACATCACAATATTATAACAAGTTAATCAATATGACTATAAAAACACTCGTCTTATTTCCCATCTTATTGTATTTTATTGATAATGCTCATACGAATAATTCTGAATGTACATTATCCTATATTGATCTTTATTCAAATATTTAGTCAATACCACACATGTATATAAATGAAGGTAAAAAGTTGTGTGAGTAACTTGATATGATTATGAGTGGCAATAATTTGTGCTCGAAACGTGGTCATCAGTTAATATTACTGTATAACAATACTGTGTGATTTATCAAAATAAAATCTTATCCATAATGGAGTTATACTCTATCTACTACAGTGCCCAAGTACTTTGCACACGTTTCCTAATGGAGAGCATAAAACTGAAGTTTATTTGAGTATATACATATTACGTAATGTGCTGTTTCATACACATAGATGCTTACTTACCTTGGGACTTCAGTCCATCCTCTATTCTTAAGAACATCTAGAATTGTATTGTTCATTGTACACTTGAACTTCACAACACTGTAAAAATTGCCTATCAGTCTTTGAGTAAAACGTACGGAAGTTTAACTTTTTTCTCCGTCAAAGATTTCATAGTCTAAAGTTTAAAGATTAAATGACAAGTTATGCAAAGCTTCTTACAGATTTCAACTGTTTTGCCATGCTTTATGATAATCACCTCCTGGAAGATTTGTGTCTGACTTTTTGAAAGATTGCCAGGATAAACTGTGAAGAAGACGGTAATATTAACGATCGCTGTTGTTCATTTGGAAAGCACTAAAATTTAAGCGGTTAAAAGTGGGAGATCTGTAAACCAATAACTCGACTAAAAGAATTTAAATTACATCCATTAAAATGAATAAAATTGCCTTTAAGGAATCTGAAAAATCATTTGAATAAACTTTAGACCCTTGTAATGATTTATCAAGAAAAAGACAAAACAAGTTGGATTACAGATGGATATCAGAGGCAAAAAGACTGGCTCCAGATATAATGGTAATGCATTGGGTGGTAATTTGGAAACTACTTCAACACTACGGCGTACAGTGCTCAAGTCTTTGTCAACTTCATTCAACAGCTATGGAACAACGCCATGTGTCAAGTGATCCACAACGGAAAACTCAGTGAGGCGTTCGAAGTGCATACAGGAGTAAGACAAAGCTGTCTACCTTTTATCTCCGATGATATTCTTGATTGTGGTGGACTGGATTATGAGCCAGAGTTTTGGGGGAGAGGAGTTGGGAATACGCTGGACGACCAATAAGAAGACTCTAGAAGATGTGGATTTCACGTGTGGATGATTTATGTAAAATGTCACACAAAATGGAAGACTTGCAGGTAGGCGAAAACCAACAAAGTTGCAGAAGAGTTAGGCAGCGAAAACGGGACTGCAAGTAGACACAGAGAAGACGGAGGTGATGAGGATAACCAATCAACCAACAGCAACAACCAGCACCAATCACCATCAATGGAAGAGATTTAAAGAGGTTACCTCCTTCAATTATCTGGCCAGGAAGCATCGTTTCAACTACAGACGGAACAGACGAAGATATCAAAGTCAGAGTCGGAAAGGCGAGATACGCCTTCATCAACCTGAAACCAGCTTGGAAATCTTCCGCACTCAGCATAAGGAACAAGATTCGCATTCTCAACACTAATGTGAAGTCGGTCCTTCTATATGGGTCAGAAACGGGCAGCGCGCCACGAAAAGGATTTCCAAGAAGTTGCTGATTTTCATCAACAGCTGCCTTCGCTGGCTCTATAGTGAAGATCAAATGACCAGAAAGAATAAGAAACAAGAAACTCTGGATGGTAATAGACCAACCAAGAGCCGATTGATCAACAAATATGTAGGAGAAAGTGGAGATGGATCGGACATACATTGAGGAGGCCACCGAATGACATCGCACGCCAGCCCTCGAATGGAATCTAAACAGAAAGCGACGAGTGGGTCTTTGGGGGAGGAGATCGTGTGAGGGAGAGACGAGAGAGTTTGGTCAATCGTGGACCCACCTGAACAAGAAGGCAAAAAACAGAACAAAGTGGAGACGTGTTGTTGAAATCCTACGTTCCACTTGGAACGCAAGGGAATAATAATGACTGGGTGGTTAGATCGCAGATAGGAGCATATGAAGACACACTGACACTTGGTAAAGTTTAAGGTAAACAGCACATACTTCTCTAACAGTATATGGATTGTTGGTAAATAAAGATTCGCCTTACATTTACGACTGTATTGAGCTGGGAGTCGTACAGCCAAAAAAAGTATGCGGCCTTATTATTTATCCTACAACCAACTTCATGGATAGTTTCTTATCACCTACAACCAGGTAAACACTTGTTTTCTGTAGAAGACAGTCTTCAGTTCTTTCATATAATACCAACGTTACTGCTGATATCGTTGCTGTTACCACCAAATAACACCACTATCTAGCGTATTCTGACCTTTTCAACCTAACATGCTCTATGGCTTCCACTAATGAATATACTAAGGAGATAATAATACGATTGTTAAGCAGCACTAAAATAAGGAAAAGATGTATGACACCAGTTAGTGTCCAATCAAATTATCCAATACAGTCCTACAGGAGGTCAATCGCGAGCCCGAATAGCCCATTGGTTACATCTCAGACTGCAGTACTGGATGACATGATTTCGAATTTTAGAAGGGACACAAGTTCCTTCAAGACTGAAGATACCCCTTGCTGACGAGTGCCAGCAAATACAAGACCTAGGTTTAAGGCCTCCTGCTGATTTCTTCCAACCATCTAATAACAACAATTCTGAGTGCACCATGATGGACAGCCAGCTAACATGCTGGCCACATTTCAGATTCTTACAGTGGCCTGTCGGCTGAGGTAAAATGCGAGAACCTGTATTAAACTTTTAGTGAATTATATTTATGAATTTAGTCCCATTCGTCGTTATATTTTATAATGCACACAAACGAATTTATCTTTTATGCACCCTTATGTAGCACTTTTGTACTTTAATTAATTAATTCGCCGTCATCACAGCCGACCAAGGGATGACTGCAGCTTCAAAAGATTATTTTTGCAATCTTACAGATAGAATTAAGATGGGGATTTCGAGACGAGAAAGGTGTCCTCATTAAAAGTGTATAACTTTAATATCACTCTTACTATAAAAAAAATTTTCGACTAAATGTGCATCAGGATGCAGATATTTAAGTTGCCACACTCCATGTAGTAAAATAGGTAGACAAAAAATAGAAAACACTGATTCAAAAAGAGATGACGGTTTAGTAAATATAGGGGATGACAGAGAGCGTTTCAGCTATTGAGAACAATTATGAGTCATATCACCAGCTGTCTCCAGCCATCCGAACTTAGCAATCGGAGATCCTCAACCAAGCAGCCTGACCTCCTCACCTGGCTCACACCAACTGCGAAAGACTTCAAGGATTGATGACAGGTTTTGGTTTGACCATCCCTACCCTTTTTAAAACCTATGTTAGCTAAAATTGCTTGTCAAGTAGGACGACGGCCTGGCATGCGAGACACGCGTCCCAGCCATTCCAAATGACTTAACTTCACAACATTATTGATTGACTTACCCTCCTTGCCTAACATTCGATGCCTTACCTCAATATTACACACCACATTACACCACTCAATGCGTAAGATAAAATAAAAATACATGTAGACGAATACAGCTAACCTTATCATTTCTTCAACTTTTAATGGCCATACCTCACAGTCATAAAGGAGGAAACGGCACAGCGTGCACGTCCTTTGATCGATAGTCATATATTATGCCTACAATGGAGATAACATGGGTCGGAAAGTGCTACATAAGCCCCCTGTATCGTGGAGAGACTTCATCAGCAATCAGTTCATTGTGGCTGACGCAAATTCTCAAAAATTCGCTCCCTATCCTTAAACTATAACTAGGAATCTTGCATTTGACAACATCCAATCTCATGCCAAACATCGAAAGACTTCTGCTAAAGGTGTTAGGAAAACTGTATTTTATCAGTGTCTTAACCTAGAAGGACAATATCGTCTGAAAAATCTAGGTCAGAAAGGCTATTCTACTGCACAAAGTTAATTACTAGGTTGCCAAACTCGTTTAGGACCGATTCCATCAAAACATTCATGAAAAAATTGGCTGGGGGACAGTTATAACTGCCCTTAGATGTACACCAATAGTTTCCATGACTTCAGATAATGACTGTACATAGGCTCATAAGCCGTAGTGTGAGTCCAAGTTTAAGGCTATGATTAGTGACACTCTTGACTATTAACTGTCACAGTAACACGGTGCCATGAAATATGAATAATGGGGGATTTATTTAAGTAGAAATGAGGCGACTCTACTGTGATAACTTACTGATATATAAACTTATATATAAAGTCATTAAATAAATTCTATTGGTATGTTACAGTGCCATGTTGCCGAATGTGAAACTGCTGGAAATGAGTTCCGACATGTCATCATAATTGTATATAGGGCGTACGCCCTGTATCTCATGAGATTTTTACGTGTATAGACCTCAGGAGAAAATGTTAAACTGTGGTTAAACAATAGAGAAGGCAGACAAAAGGGAAATATTACACACATTTATAAACAATCATTACCCAAGCTGACAATAATTCTAAACTAATTCTAACCTATGTGTATGTCTTTTAATGGTAAATAAACATTTAAATGAACCCACCATACACTGAAATAACACTGGTCGTTCCTTAAAACAGCACTGGACGCTTAACTAACTTGACGAAACCTTAAAAATGGTATTTGCAGCTAAAATAATGCCTTTAAAGCTGTTAATGCTGAAATAAAGCCAAAAGCATTATCACTATGGGCTGAACTAAGTATTTCTGTTATGAAGTAATGCCAGTCAGTGCCGATTCTGGGCTGAGAAGGCTGAAACAACGCTAATTAGCAAACACTGTAGAATCTGAGCTACTTCTGAAAATGCCAAGAATAAAACAGAGTGCTGTATGTGATATTCATGCTCAAAACCAACACTGATTTCTAGTCTGTGCGCTTAATTAAACCATTTTAGAACAGTTTCAGAATTTGCTCACTATATAATGTTAGAGTTAGTTCAGAATTAGCGAGATTTAATTCAACGCTGAATTAAATAATGCGCATTATAGTAAGCTTGGGTTGTTCTAATTCTTTGGTTGTAAAGCAGTGTGAATAGGTGATTTATGACGATTGCATCTGGATGCCTGGGCTCCGATTATATGGCTGATACTTAGTACAACGTGGTGATTAACAATGATCTTAGGAGACAATCACCCACCATCTTTTCGACCGTCTCATAAGTTCAGTCTCAAAGCATTAATAAAGTGTATTTCTTACCGAAATGTAAATAGTCAAATTAATGGTGTGAAATCAAAATGTAAGACTATCCAAAACCTGAGGTAAAGACTCGTTTTTTCAAATCTGTAGCATAACAATTACTTCAAGGTCTTGCCATAACAACAACCTTGAAATCTCTCCAATATCCACTGCTCGTAAGACAAGCTTGTAGAAATCTCATGGGTTTTTGGCGCTGATTTCCTGCTGTTTAGTAATGATTCTAAGTTTCTGGTGGATTGGATACTGATTCCTTATCTGATG